GCACCAGACTGCAACAGCAGATGGCTCAGCAATGCTATTTAATTAAAATAACCCCATTAATTTCATATTCCATTTACATCTTACACCTGGACAACAGTGTCTAACCTTGTGAACTTCCACATCAGTTGGCAGGTCAAAATGAGGGCAGTGGGGTTTGAAAAATAATAAAACAACAATAAAATGTTGCTGTGTGTGTTGTTCCTGTTCAGAGTTCCAGCCACCCAAACATGACCTCTTCCAGAATTTTCAACTATTTTCCTCCTCCCACTCAGTTTTTCAGATAGCAGTCCATGTCCACTTAGCATGTTCAACACTCACTCGACTCTTTTTGGCTTCCTTCCTCTATTAGGTTTTTGTTCCCCCTTTACAAAAATGTACTTATACAAAGCTTGGACCTTCTTGAAACCTGCCAAGACTTTCCTCTTCCATATGAATGGCACCATTTTGGCTACATATGGACCAGCAGTCAGAGAAAGAGTTGTTTTTAGTATATCACGAATGGCTATTTTATAAGCCTGAGAGCTGCAATCCTTCCCAGCATACTACAGGGAGAGTAGCCAAAATAGACATGCTTATCCGATGGCCTTGTGCACAAATCACACAAATGAAGTATACATTACACACACACACACACACACACACACCAGATCACATGATTGCACATCCACCCACATGCACTACACATAGAGCCCCTATGGATGCACCAGAATACCACAGAAAACAGCACAAACGTTGCTGGAAAGGGAGGTAGAAGACGGGTGGAAAGAGATGTGATTTTCCTCCCCATCAGTGCGTTCTATAGGAGGGGTAATGATTTTCCTTCACATCTACCAATGCTGTGATAGAGACTACACCACGCTGGCTTCCACAAGTGGGAAGCCACCACAGGAAAAGCTCTCCCTCGGGTCCACACTCTCCTCACCTCAGCCAAAGGTGTAACTATGATCTGATTGTCTGTTGCACAGCGTAGAAGCCTGGGTGATTGGTACTGGGGGAAGATGCTGTACTTGGGTCCCAAACTGTTTAGGGCTAGACCCTGAATTGAAACCAGTACCATACTGGCAGACACTGCAAGGTGATTCCCCCCCCCCTTAGTGCATAAGAATTCTTTCACAATATCACTTTACTGTGATAAACAACAATAATAACGGGGTGAAATCACTGGTGCCAACTTTAGCACCACAGAAATGAATGAAACAAGTTGTTCCTGAGTCTGCATATATGTATATTAAATCTGTGACTGCTATTTTTGAACAGTAGTAGTTTTTTGTTTGTTTTTTAATAATCCTGATAAGGGTAGAAGTAATGGAGGATCCATTATAAACTCCGAACCCTTAGGGTCCTTATTGGGTTATTTCCATTACTGTGATTTGCAACATAATAACCTGGCAAAATTTGAAACATCCAATAATGACTTTAAGTATGAATGACTTTCATGTGGAGTATTATCTATTAAAGCCATGAAATACTGTGAAATTCATCGTTTTTTACATAATCATGCCTGTGAAATCCACTGCTGAGGATTTATTGGGCATACGTTGCCTCATAGCAACCATCACTTCAAGCCAGAAAACTATACAAAAAAATTAGTGGTGTTGGTTACTAAGCCTTCTAAAATCCTATTTTAACATGCCAGTTGTAGCCCTTTTCTTTGCATTTGAGAGAATCTCGCACTGCATTCCTACCAATATTTTTAAAAGTACAGTGACTGACTGATAGTGACTGATAGTGGCACTCCAAAGTTTCAGACAGGACGCCTTTCCAGCCATATCTAGACATATTTTTACATGTTCTGACAGGAGCAAAGCTGATTTCTGGTTTTGTTTTTCCTCATAGCAATCACAGACTGTTAACACTCAATTTACCTGAATCCACTTAAAGCCTCAATGTATACACAATGTACAGTACACAGCAGACATCTCACCTTAACCAAGATCTTTCTGCATCTCTCTCAAAGCAGGAGACAAAAAGGAAACGCCCGATACACAAACAAGTGGTGGCAGCTCAGTGACACTTGAGGTTCCCAAATGAAACTGGCAATGAAAGACAAAGCAGCAATGCAAAAACTGGGCTGGAACCTAGGTTTCGACACAGAACAGACCCTCCCCATCAGCTATTAAGAGCGTGCAAACAAGAATCCAAAGTAGGTTACTGCTTCTCTCTTTCCCTGGCCAGGTGATGGAGGGAGCAAGGGATGTAAAGGTGGAGAAATATTTGAGGTTTTTTGAGGGTGTGGGGGAGGAAAGGCTTGTGGTGGGAAATTCGGGACTGCATGGCAAAGTGAGAAGCCATGATGGCTTAAGGGTTTTTGTGAAGGTCCCGGCATTTCTGTGGCAATTGGAGACTATTTATCCAGCCTCTTACCCTAGAAATGGCCTAGAGGAAAACACAACACCCTCCTCCAGAGAAAAAGACAAACAATAATACACACAAAACCATGCCCAATAAAAGAGGGTGAGAACTCACCTTCATTGAACCCTGAATACAACCCCTCCCCCAAGCAAAACAACCTTATAGTCTCCCCTCTCCAGCACCATAGGCAGGCTGGTTTGGGGCATGTCCTGAACAGCTACTGTCACAGTCCGGTTCACGGGCGATCGAAGTCCCTGCAGGGGACGTCAGGACCGGGGGCAAGATGGCGGGGTGGGAGCAGGAACGGGGGTCCAGAAGCCAGGAGTCAAGAAGCCAAGAGTCTGAGGGTCAGAGAGCTGGGAGTCAAGAAGCCAAGGGTCCGAAAGCAAGGAGTCAAAAAGCCGATGTTCAAGGATCAGGAAGCAAGAAGCCAAACACAGCAAGGCAGGAAGCGTGTTGCTGTGGCAAAGAGCTGAAGGGAAATGCTGACCTTATATCCCTTCCCAGCTCTTGCCACCAGGTGCTGTGAGTTACCAATCGGCCTCACCTCTACAGAACAAATTTAGGAAGACCCCAGTCCTGCAAAGTCCTATTGGTCACAGGGCCTGGCTCCTACACGCACACCTGACAGCTACAGCCACTCAGGCAGATTGCTAACAGCCTCAGCAGGGCCTAATCCAGTTGTAAATACCTGCTGGAAACAACAAGCTCTTAGAGAAAGCTTTCTTCTACAAGAGGGCAGGGAAGCGGTTGTTAGTCAATACCTCTCCCTTCTTTGAGCCAGCTGCCTCTCCCCTTTTTACCTCCTTTTGCTGTTTAAATGACTTTGCTAACAGTCCTGAGCAAAACCTAACAAGAATGTTGTTCTTCCTCCATTACCTACTCGGTCTTCACAAAAACAGGTGGCACATAGCCCTGTCAGCATTTGCCTGCTTGATGTGCAAATGTGCTGTGAACAAAAAGTTCAGGAAATAACTTACATGCAGGGAGGTTAAGAAAAATCAAGCTCAGCCACAGATAAATATAAGAACCATGCAACAACACACATGAAACCCAATCACCTTCCTGTATACAGCACAGCTACCCACTATATCCCCACCTCTCTCTCTCTCTCTCTCTCTCACACACACACACCACATATTACACAATCTATCTCACTCGCACATTATCAGCACACATGATTGACAACCTCACAACTCAGTTATAACAACATGCTCTATGTGGTGCTGTCCTTGGGTTTGCTCTGAAAGCTCCGGCTGATGCAAAATGCTGTGGCAAGACTGTTGAGGGAGACAGGCTCTGGCCACCACATAACCTTAAAACTTATATCCATATGCTCCCACACCACACCATATGCTCCCACACACAAGGCTTTTAACAGCTTGGCTCTAGAACACATTAAAGACCACCCAGTTCCTTAGATCCCTGCCTGATTACTGACGTCCTGGGGGGGGGGGAGCCACGGTCCCCGGTCCCCTGTGGCTCTGATGCATGGCTCATATCCACCAGGAGCCACATGTTGAGTGTTGTGGGCCCAACTCTGTGGAACTCCCTTCTGGGTGAGATCAGACACAGTTAGACATCCAGAGCCTAGTGAAGAGCTTTTTATTTCAGCAGGCGTCATTTCTGTTCTTATAGTTAGTTTTCAGCCAATTTTGCCTCTATTGCATTGGTTCCGCCTACTGTACACCACTTAGGAACAACTGTAATGGAGTAATATAGAAATAGCTTAAATAAAAAACCCTCATACTGCATATACAACATGTGTCCCCCCCCCAATTCTCTCTCCAATACGCACACAAGAAATGCAGATACTAACTGGAGTAGTGAACCTTTTCCAAACTCTTCATAATTAAATTTGAGCTATTGGCACCAGCAGCCAACTCTGTTCTGTTGTTCGCTGACCTCTAACACTAGCAGACACCTAAACTTCTGTAAACAAGCCAGTCTTAGGAGCTGGGGGGGCAGGGTTTGCCTCTCTCTGCATCCATCACAACCCATTAGGTCAACACACCTATCTGCTTCTGGCTGGGCCTGATTTTCGTTCCATACCCACACAAGTACCCATTTTTCTTAATTATTTTTTCCTCACAAAGGCAACAAAAGAATCAAGTGTTCTCTGTTAACTGACAGAAAAGATAACTGTGCTTTTGGCCACTTTACGATAAACTACACAAAACGTGTTGAGAGTTAACAAATAATGGTAAAATTAAACAAAATTCCAAATGTGATCAATGGAGGGAGGGGGGTATGCTGACTTACAATGTGTTGCAAAATCATTGTGCTGGAAACATTAAAAGATTTGTAAGTTAATGCTTTACATCCTATAGATTTTGCAGCATAAAGAAACATAGATAGGGCCTGTTTTGTCTTAAGTGACCTACCAAGTATAGCTAAGGGAGGCAAATCACCAATATGACCTCTAAATGCACATTTTCTGTATTACATTTAGAGATTTGATGGTTCATCTCTCTTGTAATAATATTTAAATTATATTACACAGAACAGTGCTGAGCTTAAACAAATGGTTGGTTACATCCTAAGTTTAGCGTTAAATGTTGTCTTTGGACATGATAGGCTGTTCCTAGTAGTAAGGATATGATACCATGCAGAACAATAACATAGCTTCTCTGCTGTTCTTTGCTTACCAACACAGGACTCCCCGGAAAGTGAATAGGTTCCATTGTCATGGAAACCGCTTCTGCACTCACAGTGGTACCACCCTGGGAGGTTAACACAGCGTGAATGGTTGTGACATTCAATGATGCCCTCTGCACACTCATCAATATCTGCCTCAGAGAAAAACACAAGCCAGCCAGGATATTAATTTCCTTTGACACCAACATTTGCGATACTTAAACACACACACTCTTCTAGAGATAAAGAAACAAATATAATACATATTTTAATGAATGGGTGGGCAATCTATCAGCAGCACACTGGAATTTCACCATTCCTTATCCTAAGTTCACTCTCTGCAATCCTGAGGACTAAACATTTACATTCTTTAAAACAAATGCAGGGAAGTTCCAGAGGGTTTTAATCAAGACCCCCCACCCCAAGCTTTGGTGACAGCCAGTTGCCAATCTCTTTTAACACAGCAGAAAAAGAAACACCTTGTTTTAAACTCTTTAATCCCCTTATCTACATATATTGTTAATTACTATAAGGATTTGGAAGTGCAATTAAACGTTTAAGTAGGAATTTTTTAAAAAAATATCAACTAGAAAACTGCTCCTTAGTTTTGTGTGGAAGCAGTTGGTTCATAGGTTGAATAATTAGATTACATATATACCAAAATGGAAAGCTATGATTATGGTAATGATTGAAAAGAATGTGCAAACTCTGTGAATTTAAAGTCAGACCTTTGTTAGAATATGCAGATTTGCAGGGGGGAAGTTAATTGCTGCTTATCTCCCCACTCCACCCCCTCAGTGAAAAAGAGGACCTTCTGAGGGTGTGTGCATGTGTTCTGTTTTCTCCACACCAGTTTTTCCTGGGTTCAGCCATTTAAATCTCTTCTGCAATTCTCTTCTTCTGGGTTCAGCCAATTAAATCTCTTCTGCAACTTTTTTTTTTTTAGTTCCAACTGACAAAGCAAGCCTGGGATCATGGGAGAGTTGCAAAGTCCCTTGGTCCCTGGGGCTGTCTCTTGATAGATCTGGCCATGCAAAAGTGTCATTTGGAGGTTTTAATGCTCAGTAGTTGAGATAGCGTGAAGCTAGGAATTCTTGTCTGGCTCAGATTTTACTTCGACTATGAGGTACCGGTAAATGTTATGAGACCCTGAATTCAGTCTGGAGAATGATAGGTATCACTTTGAATTTCTACACCTAAATGGAAAAAGGGGGCAGTGGAGAGAGAGAAAGAGAAAATCTGAAAATATTACCTTGTGCTGCCATTTCACAAACTGAAGCACAGTTAATATAGCTGGGCAGGATAAGAAAATTAGTACTCTTTTGGCCAAATTTTAGCTGCTAGAGTAAGAGTCTGCAGCAAAGATAGATGTTCAGTATTGCTTTTGGTTTTTGGTTTTTTTAGGTGTAGTGTACTGTAGTGAATAGTGTACTGTAGTGAGTGTAGTGTAGTGTACTGTAGTGAGCCTAATTTCTAGCAAAATTGTCCTTAATCAGTAGTTGTTGTTATTTTAATGCCTGTTCAGCTTCTGTAGCATAGATGGGGAACCTGTGGTCCTTCAGATGCTGGACTCCCCTGTTCTCCAGTCAGCATGGCCAATGTCGATGATGGGAGTTGTTGCCTAGCAGCATCTGGAGGACCACAGGTTCACCCCCGCTGCTGTATAGTATAAGTTGTTTGTGATTTTGTTTTTAATATTTGACCTCTCCCAACCACCAAAGTAATATGCTGCTGCGGGGAAGCAAAATGCCCTGAATCAAGCAATGACTCTGGCATCACCCAAACATGTATAAGTGTACAGTGGTACCTCGGTTTAAGAACAGTCCGGTTTAAGAATGATTTGGTTTACAAACTCTGCAAAACCGGAAATAGTGTCTTGGTTTGATAACTTTACCTCAGTCTAAGAACAGAATCCGAACAGTGGAAGGGCACCGTTGGCAGGAGGCATCATTAGGGAAAGCGTGCCTCGGTTTAAGAATGGTTTTGGTTTAAAAATGGACTTCTGGAATGGATTAAGTTCTTAAACCAAGGTGCCACTGTACTAGCAAGCACTAATACAACATTCACCCAATCAGTATACGATCACCTTCCTTTCACATTCTCTACCATCAACAGGTAATCCATCATCTCAGATCTGACAGTGCTCATTCATTCAGCAGGTGAATGTGTGTTTGCTGGGTCCGTAAAATGTAAATACAAAATTTTAATCGTCCCTTATCAACTTCAACCCTGGCATTAAAGCTAATGAAGTTCTAACAAAGATGCCAGGCTAAGAGCAACCTTGGATTTTCAAAGGAAGTGGCAAGAGGGGATAGTGAAGTGACTCCCTCTTCCTACAGTTCCAAATCTCACCCAGAGGGAGGAAATGCACATCTTCCAACATAAAGAACGCAATAATCAGAACCAAAACCTGTCAAATAGCATACAAATTCATGAAACACCATTTAACAGTAGAATGCAAAAAAGCCCTAATATTTTTGATTTTAATATTTTATTTTGTAAGGTATTTAGAGATGTGATAAAGCAGCATAAAATATCTTAAATAAGAAAAAATGAATTACAAATTTAGATGTGATGGGATCCTGTAGGATCCAAAAATGCATTTATGTGTCCTCTTCTTCCTGCTTGGTGTCTAAAGGATTCCCCCAAACTCTGGCAAACATGCACAAAAAGGGAATTCTATAGTTGTCTGTTAGCTGCACATCTCTAAATACTTTCAACATAGACATGAGCCACATTTTAATGGTTGAAAATATCAGATTTCCTGCTTTCTTGATAACTCATGTTTCTACTCTGCCTTATAGCTTGTAATTTCAAAAACATTGTATCAGGACAAGTTAGAGAATATGACAAAAGAGGCAAATATATTTTAACAGCAGGTATGTGAGCAGCTGTAGATGCAATGAAGCAAATAAGAGCATACTTTTTATTTTCAAATTGGCAAGTCAGATCTCCCAAAGTACTCCAATAAACATGTGTTGCCTTTACAAAGGTTCCCACCCTCCAGTTCTTCTGCAATGTGGTGCTGATACAGAGCTCATAATCTATAATAAACTTGGCAGATTATTATTGCACCTGGAAGGTAGTCTCCTCTGAGATTTTATGCTGTATGTTTTGGAAGGCAATGTTTAAAATTATCAAATTAATTTTATGTTAACCTTCAAGTAATTAAGAGGCTGTAAAATTTTTGAGGCTGTTCACAGGGAAAAATGGCTGAATCTTCTGTTTAGATAGAACTATTACAAAATCCTCACTTGGATGATTTGCAGGATCACTGCAGGGGGTATCACCAATAATAAATTAGTGTCTAAAAAAAAAAAGAGCTGTTTTCATTCACTGGGAATTACTTCTATCCAAAGAGGCAAGATTAAGAGCAATCTGAAAATAAATTCCCTCTCTTCAGATTAAGTACCGGTTTACACATGGCCGGGGCATGTGATTTTGTTCATATGTTGCTTTATCCACAGACCACAGGAATGAGTCTTGGATTCAAGGACCTTTAGTTGCAACAGAAACTAGGGCTTATTGGTGCAATCTGTGCAGCAGCATCGCAGTTCTCATTGCAGGCTCCATATGCAACAGCAGTGAGCACACAAGATAAAGACTCCAGATGAATGACATTTGGTCCGTTTTTAGCTTTTGGTGGTGGTGGTGGTGGTGGGGATTGAGCTCTGTTGTCAGGGACCAGTGTGGTGTGTGGTGGAGGCAGAGGACCAGGGTAGTGAACCAGGAGAGAAGACCAGTGATTTATGGGTGTAACACCACCCAAAATGCAGGAGCCAGGGGAGGAGGGAGAGTCAAGGTAGTCAAAGGTGGAGGAAGGTGGGTGTACTGGATGTGGCAGAAGAAGAAGGGATGATTCAGGTGAGGGACGGTTCAGTAGTTTCCCCACCTTCCCGCACTCCACTGTTTCCTAGAACCAGAAGGGACTTGAAAAGGAAAGAGCAGCAGCAACTTCTGTGCAGGAGAAGTCTCAGGTTTCAGGCACACAACCCATCAGAGGAAGGTATATAAACTGGAGGAGGGGAGGGGCTGCAACTGTCATAGGGCCTAGACCTGTGGACAGCTGCCTAGAGACTGGAAGCATATGAGTGTGTATCTGGAGCATGATGGAAGTTGCTGTGTTTCTGTTGCCAATAAAGAGTTAACTATCAGATGTGTGTCTTCCTTATCTGGGATGGGCCATGACATCTGTTGATGGGTTAATTGAACTGGTTGTTATGTGTTTGTTATGGATTTTTGCTATATTTTGTTGCTAGGTGGGTTTCATTATTTTATTTGTTCAGGGTCAAACTTTGATTTATATTCTCATTGTTTTGTATGTCACCTAGACACCCACTCTGAAGCTCACTGCACAAATAAATTAATTGTTAGGATAGCTGTAAACCTCAGAAAAGAGGGCTTGTAATATTATAAATGGAAACAGGTTTCAGGCAAGGTTGATGATGGCACCCACATTCCATTTAATACAACCCCTGTTCAACTATAACATTAATATGTGAGTGAAGAACAGGAGAGAAGGAGCAGAAATCATATACCATGTCAGAGCATTTTTTCAGCAGGAACTTGCTGGAACTCAGTTCTGGCACCTCTCAGGTGGGTGCCATTGCCATTATAAGAGAACAAAGGAGGTGTTCATGGTGAGTTCCAGCACCTCTTTTTCTAGAGAAATAGCCCTGACAGTGTTCATTGCCGAAACCTGTTTTAAACTGTGCTACTGTCTGTTTTACATCACTTCATCTCAATGTGTACAAGTTGCAAAAATCAAGCATGTGTCAGAATGCTTTATAAATCCTAGTTCTATGGGAATTTCATTGTGCATTGACTATAAAAATAATTGTGGGTAGGGCAAAAATTAAAAATGTGCACTTTAAAAACACCTTGCATGATTTCCAAAGATTAGGTGAGCTTTTAAGGGGTTTGTTTGTAGACTTCAGTGCTGCCATGGGTGCTGCTGTGTGCTTGCCTTTGGATAATCTTGTAACATTACCTTTTATAGCACCAATAGGGCCAAGATATATCTGAATCACCAGCTCTAAGTCTTATTATTTATTTCTGCATATTTATTTCTGCTTTGCAGACTATGTTGCAGGTTAGCCACCAGCTTCATTCAGATCACATTTATATTACAAAATGCCATAATAAAAGGAAA